AAATTAGTTCTAAGTGATGTGGAAGATGCTCAACAGGATTGTCTCTGCTCTTCACTGTCTTTGTTCCTTAAATGACCTGTGTCCGTGGATGTTGTCATTCTCATCATGAAGGACGTGGGTCTTAGAGATGTCTACAACCACGATTGCATTCAGTGCAGGCACCTCACTTTGTGCCTTCACTCTTCCTTCTTACCTGCTTTGCTTCTAACCTTTCTCAAAAGAAAGAGGAATAGCTGTTTTATGTAAGTTGCATCTAGTTGTCGCCCCAATGATAATGCCAGAGAGGTGTCTGGGATATAAAAGGAAGCACTGCAGATAAGAAAGTCCAAGAAAAAGAACGAGTTTGTGAGTTTCTGCTGTCTTTTAGATTGGCATTGAACATGTATTTGGTTCATTATATGTTGAAAACGAATTATGTATCAACTTTCTCTTTTATGTTCACATGTATATATTTGTATATATACATATATATTTGTTTATAAAATAAATTCTATAGTAGCTTAGAAATTGTTTCTGTTATTTTAGTAATGGAATGTGTATAAGCAAATATAATGTTGGCTGGAAAGGGAATTTCTGTGATAGCTTTTTATGTTTGTACCTGTAATTATCTAAAACTTTGTAATTGTGTAACTGATTTTTAGGCTGTGGAAACTTGTCATATTTTGAGTGTATATATACATTTTTATAAATGCTACATTGAAAGAAATTACAATCCTGAGGTCTTTTAAATCAGCTACAAAAACATTTACCCATTAGAAGTTTCTATAGAAATTTGATACTTCAGAATGGTATTTTGGTAATTTATATAGGAAGTACTGTTGTTTCATCATTCTATAAATGAATTAAAAAAACCACTTGGGTATGAAAATTTTCTTCTAATATATTTATGATTTATAGTTTTACATGGGATCACATGGGTATGCATGTATGTGTGTGTGTGTACTTGTGTTTGTGTGTGTGTGATTTATTATTTTATGAAGGTCATTGATTATTATTCCTGAGATCATAGTTGAAGGAGAAGGAATCGAATGCACATTCCCTGTGCTGCGGTGTGTGGCAAGTGCTGTGCTATTTAAAACAACTTTACGATGCAGGTGCTATGCTGAAGTGAGCAAATGAGAATTCCCACTTCACTGAGGAGGCTGAGTGGAGGCATGTATGCACCGAGTCGTACAGTTGTTACTCTGAAACTGATATTTTCCTTTTCTTTTGCTCATCTGAACTGCCACTTCTTGCTTTTTTCTGTCTTTACTACTATTATCTGTTGCTCAGGTCAGAAACCCAGCATCATCTCTGACTCCTTTCTCACTGACCTGCTGCTCTGTCTAACCCATGAGTAAGCATTTGTGTATACAGGTGTGCATGTGGACAGTTCTTACTATTTGCCTTACTCATATTTCACCCAGTGACTGAGAATCCGGAGTTAGCATGTCCCGAGACGCTCTCTGTAGCACATATGTGATAACTGTGTCCTGTAACTGAGGAGTCATGGTAGCGTGCCCATCAGCCACTCCATGTGTAACTTTGTCTTACACATGCCTCTGTTAAAGAGACATTCTTTCATATGCATCTTCGCATCTCATTAACAGTGAGCTCACACGTCAGTTCATAGCCTAACACCTCATCTAATGTGCACTTTGTATTCAGAAAGTCTCAAGGTTTTCTGATGCTTAGGGGTTTTAGACATGTCAGTATTCCACTTCCAAGAAGAGAAAAGCAGAAAACCATGGCACCAGATCAACCGTGAGAAGCACGTTTACCATATGAGAGCAGTGTTGCTGTGTTTTGCCTCATCTGGACTCACATTATCTGCTGCTCTGCACAGGTCTGTGGGTGAGCCGCAGTGCCCTGCATGGCAATGTCTGTGGGTCAAGGGGACCTGACACACATCATCCTGCCTGTCTCTAGTGCTCTCTTAAAGGGTGTTTACTTGTTTATAGAAGCATCTCAGCACAGTGCATCTCCTCTTAAAATGTTTTCTGTACTAGGCTCAGTAATTTTTCTGAAGATGTTCATGTAACTCTCTTTTTGCCTAACTTTTCTGCTTTCCCTTCTTCAGCCCCTCTAAATGATGTGTTTGCTTACCCGTTAACAGCCTCATGGGCACACCCCCTTGAGCTTTCTCTTCTCCTTCCCCTCTCCTCCTGTACTTGGCTGTGCTCTCTTCAGATTGGTGGTCGGACAGAGTTTTATAAAACCCTGGGCTGTTGTGTTTTCATATGTGTCTGAGGCTCACTGTGTTCTTACCCCCGCCCCCCCCGAGTTCTTATACATGCAGACACACACACACTTTTTCTCGTGCCTTTCCATAATTTTAAGTTATCTCTTAAGTGCTCATTTTTTGTCTACATCTTTTTCTGTTTTAACTTTAGTTAAGTTTCAGCACTATATGTGTATGTATTCATCTGTAAGCATAATTATATATTTATTTGCTACAGAAATAAATATACCTATAATACCTGTTACTTCTGATCCCTATTTTGCCATTTCTTAAAATTTTGCCTTTGTTTGGACAGTTTTTTTTTTTCTGTCATTCCTGTTGGCCCGCAGTAAACTGTGTGGCCCATGCTGCCTCCAGCTCATTCCGTCCTCCCTTAGCCTTCCAGTTGCTGGCTTGAAAAGGTATGTATTACTACTCTCAGCTCTTAGGTTATGTTTTAGAAGATATTTTTTTTAGTTTTTAAAAAGAATTTATTTAATTTTATTTTATGTGCATTGGTGTAAGGTCAGACTACCTGGAACTGGCGTTACAGACAGTTGTGAGCTGCCATGTGGATACTGGGTGTTGAGTCCTTTGGAAGAGCAGGCTTAGTGCTCCTAACCACTGAGCCATCTCTCCAGCCCTGTTTTTTCAGTTTTAAAATTAATTTTGTCAGTCTTTTCAAGGCATTTCTGTGAAAGTCTGATTCGTTATGCTAATTAATATGAAATAATTATTTTTAATTTTTGTGTCTTTGATTCAGTGACATTAAGGGCTAATGTAATAAATTCGGTTTCCCCACCAAAGTCTGTACTCTTTACAGAAAGGAAGGTTTATGATTAGACCATTGTGACACATACTAAATTTTTCTTTTATCTTGTGGCTCTACTAATACATTTTAAACGATAGTTTAAAACGTAAACTTTTAAATACATTCAAAATGATAGTTTTGAATTTCTGTTAGGTTTTAATATTTTTGCAGACTTTTTCTGAATTATTTTCAAGTAGCTTCCTTCCCCCTATTTAAAATTAGAGGAAGGATGCTTAGTGATTAGAAAGCTCTGGAGATGAGAAGACAGTTTCCATGCACGCACAAGGCTTCAGTAGTGTTAACTACTCGTGTTAGTGAGTCCAGCCCGGTGCGCACCCCCTCCAGTACTCTCCACCATGCTGTGGTCCACCTGCTCTCATTTTAAGATGGTGCATTCATAAAGTTGCTTTAAGTTGTTGATTTAGAACTTGCTGGGTGGCCAAGACTGGTTCAGACTCGGGACCCTCCTGCCACAGCCTTCTCAGTGCTGCAATCACAGGTCTCCTCCATAGCCACTTCAGTTATTTTCAAGTACATTGACTTCTCATGGTTAGACCCCTTTTTGTCTTTTCCCTTTGAGTCCTTTATCTTCTTTTCCTTTCATAATATCACAAAATATTTTTCGATTTATTAATATATTATTATTAGTGGGTTGGATCCCCTTGTTTGCTGGAGTGCCCCTCAGATGTTTTGTTATTGTGTGTTACTAGTATATTAGTTACTTTTTGTGATGCTGTGATGAGCCTTCCAAGCAACTTAAGGGGGTATTTGGGTTCATGGTTTGGGGCTAGCAGCACAAGGGTCAGTTTACAAAACCCTGGTTTTGTCCTCTAGTGACCCTCTTCCACTGAGTCTGCACCTCCTAAAAATTCCAAACCCTCCAAAGCCCACTCACCAGCTGGGGACCTTCTGTTCAGGACCCATCTTGTTGATTTTATTTTCTTCTGTATGCTTGAGGACTTAGGCTGTACCACGTGTGGGGGGTACCTGGTCCCTGCTGAGGTCAGAGAAGGCATCAGATCTTCTGGAACAAGCCACTCTGTGGATGCCAGGACCCAGAGCTGGGTCCTCTGGAAGAACAAGAAGTGCTCAGTAACTACTGGACATTTCCCTTGTTTAAAAATCTTGTGTCCTTTAAGCTCTTCTTAGCTATCCTATCTTTACTATACATTATATGCTAGAATATAAAAGCATTTTTTTTCTCATTCTGCATTCTTCATCTGATTTTAAATTTTCTTTGTTTTTCTTAGAGTATCTTTCTATATCCCCAAGAGGAAATTCACTTATCTTAGTTTAAGAGTATATTTATTTCATATTTTAAATTATGTGTGTGGGTGTGGGTGGAGGGTTAGGTGCCTATGATGGCACCAGAATCCCCGGGAGCTGTCGGTACACGTGGTTTATCCAACATGGGTACTCAGAACAGAACTTGAGTCCATGCAAGAGCAGGACCTGCTCTTAACTGCTGAGCCATCTGTCCAGCTGCTGCAAACAGTGTCACTGAAGAGTAATGGAGGCTGTGTAGGACTGAGCTGGGGCCATCTTGTATTCTTGACCTTGTTATATTCTGCTCTTGGTTCACGTCCTTAGAGGCAGAACAATGTACTCCTTTATAGTAATATGTGTAATTTCTAAAATAGTCTAGTAACTGTTATCTTTCTTAGTTTGATAATTGTTTTAACGTGTGTATTAAAACATACTAGTAGCAAGTGTACATAGACTTAGAATGGGTTAGCCATATGGTTTTGATAGCATTTGTATGAATGAGCTGTTAAAAGCATATTTTTGAGGAGTGAAGTCATGGGGTGATGTTTCAGTCTTCTAATGCATATTCCTTCCCATATTCATGGTGGCACACACCTTTAATCCCAGCACTCTGGAGGCAGAGGTAGGCAGATGCCTGTGAATTCTAAGCCAGCCTGGTCTACATAGTAAGTTCCAGGACAGCCAGAGCTGTATGTGGAGGGACCCTA